TTTTCAAGCCAGTGACAAAAGTGTCTACGCGTTCACCTGCAAAGTAGAAAATAACCTGGGCAGTGACAAACGAAATACCTTTCTTTGTAAGTTAGTAAGAACAAAATTACTTACATACAAATGGCTTTCCATTTTTAATGATCATTAACTTTCAAGAAAACATTGTTACGTGTACGTTTTGTTTCGTATCATCCTGTCCTCTCCTCTTGCTCCCTTTGGCGTTTTGTTTTTGTTACATGCCCTTAGTCAGCGCAGTGAATATTTGCTTCTTACAATAATTGACGTGGACCTTCTTGGTCTTACAATGACACACAGGAAACATATATTTTTAAATTGATCACACGCTTAAAATATGCAGCGTGGTTTAATTTACAACCAAGCTATTGCATTCATTGCAAAGTTTGGGAGCTAAAAATATTCAATATATTTTTTAAATATGTTATCAAATCAAAGCATTGCTTCAGCAAATTAAGTTCTACATTTCCTATAGTAGTTACAGATAAGACACGAATTGCTTGTTAGCTGTTTATATTAGTACATTTATGCTTTGATAGCTGAATGGTAAGCTGGAGTGAGAAATTAGCCTTCCGACGCGACCAAACCTCTTTCTACTGCAACTTCTTGTTATACCTAGCGGATATTGATATGATGTTTCCAGTGTTTTGCTCTTTCCCTTCAAGACACAACAACAACAGCAGCAAACAAAAAAATTACTGAGGCTAGTGCCTCCGTTTTCCTTTTACTAGCTACGGTCCTGTGCCTGGGTTGAGTTGAGGGTCTAAAATTGTTTGCATGTACTTGGTTGTATACGAAAGGTACAGTTTCTGCCGTTGACTGTTGTTTTATTAGTCATAGCAAGTAATGTAATTAACGTGACCCTGGTTATCACGAGTGAAGAGTGTACTGATGGGAAATACAGTCAACCATGGGAGAAACTCAACAAAACGGTAACTAATTTGCTTATGCAACACACTTGTAGATTTAAACCTTATAATGCAGTCACCCTTAGGAAATAGCAAGGTTCAAGACCGTTAATACATAGTGAGTGGGCCTGTGAATTGGCAGACAGGCTGGGCAGCAGCTGGGCAGACAGAACAACACGTTGACACTCAAATGAACATTATCAGTCGGACAAATTGATGGACAGATCGACCGAGGGACAGTTCGTAATCAAATTCAGGAATAGTTCAAATACTGTGTAGTAAACATGACAATGTTAATTAAGAAACGAAAAACGACTTTGCCGATGTTGTGCTTTGTTACCCCAAGTTATATTACACATTAAATTATATATCTTGGCACCACTTTTAGCCGTTTTTAGCGGAATGCGTTTTTTAATTATTTGTCCTTGGCAATTAATATTAAACCTGTTCATTGAATTAGGCCTTTTGAAAATGTATAAAATAAATATTAACAATAGCTCATTTAAAATTTTAATTTGAGATAGACGAGGTGTTTGCTGGTAAACTGGGCTATGAAAGTGTGCAACTGAAAAGTATCAGGTATTCAAACAGTTTCAGATCGAGTTCTTAAACTTCAAAAATTTTCCTTTGGACTTACATTTTGGGCGGAAAACTTTCGGACGTTTTGTCGGCATATCACGAAGAGCGTGGGAAAACGAGTCTAAAATGTTCTACTACGTGACGTTAGCGGCTGTAGATCGTAGACATTCGAAACGCTCCATTGCGCTATGTTTCTGTTGGTAAACTCGCTTTTTTTCCGCACCTAATGTGATATAAACCAATAATAAACCAATAATAAACTGTAAAAGCAGTTATTTTCATTAAGAACTTAAGCAAATCTCGAGGTATTTTCGACCCCGCTTCGTGAGATTTCTCCGAAATCTTCCGAAGTTTCACTATCTTACACACTCGGTGACACAGTGGTGACTGGCTAAGGCCAGTAACCACAAAAATCGAACGGTTTACAAATTTATCTCTTTATCCACTGGGACATGTTTAACTTAAGGTCAAAAAAAATAAGTCCACATCATTAGTTCAAATGCTTGGTTTTGTATGAGATTCGACCATCTAAAACTTTGTGAAGTAAAATAATTTCCCGTTATTCAGTTTGGTCACCAGATAAGTTTGTACTTATGGTTTTCCTTTTTCTTCCAAGGTGTGGAAATGTTATTGTTGCCCTGGCCCTGAAGTTCAGTTCAATTGTAAGAGAAAGCGAAGTACTCTTTATGCTTCGCGATGCTGCTAACAATGGAGGGCTTGGAGATTTCAATGTGAGTGCCATAACAGGTACACGAGACATTGGGATAACATCCACCATGGCCACAACACCTAGCAGCTCATCTGACAGTATGTTACCATATCATTAACATTTTGTCCTGTGAATTTGTTGTAGTAATGTGATCTGTTTTTTAGATGCCTTAGCTAATTATTAAGTAGTCACGTGGCGATGCTTGTATTTTACTGTTAATTTTTTTTTACAATTCGGCCAGCAAGTCGGATATATAGAAATCTTCAAAATTGAGATCAGATAATGATGGCACTTTCATACTACATGAGCTTCATCTATTTTGCACAGTGAAGATATCTAGTGACCTTACAAAAAGTGTCGAGCACCAGGAAATTAATACATCTAAGTGCACATGATTTTGTGTTTGCCAAGTTTACACCAAAAGGAACTTAATACCTTTCTACGCCTTGTAAGTCTCGCTTAAAACAATCACCTACAGACAAACAGAAAGAAGGATTGACGGAAAAAAGGACAGAATGATGGAAAGGCAGGTTCGGAAAGCCAGGAAGACAGCCAGACAAACAGACAGACAGACAGACAGTAAGACATATTTGCCATGCTTAACACAAGCATGCGAAATACGTTTGCTCTGAAAGAGATCTGATGACGTTTTTTCATCATATTATAGTAACAGTTCAAGCATGCGGGGATTGTGCTTGCAGCTGCACCGTATTGGGAGGTGTCATCGGTATCCTTGTTGTCGTAATCATTGTTCTTGTTGTCTACATCTTATGGCTTCGCAAGAAAGGTAAGCAATATTCTAAATATTCTCTACGCCTTTTAACAATGACTGTGAGAAAACTTGTCTTGTTAATATATTGTCAGTTTCCGCTAAACCTCCCACTTCAAGCTACTATGGTTTTGGATGTAAATAGGATGTAGCTGCTAAAACAGTTAAATAACTAAACCAGTCAACTGAGACACTAAGAGTTAATGCCAGGTATAGGAAGTTTTGTAGTTTTTCGTTCTTGCCTTTAAGATTTTTACACCTTTTAAATTCTTCATCGGCATTTGTTGCAACATTGACA